CTTTCCGACGCGACTTGGCATGGAGTGCGTGTTATTTTCTGTCCCGAGATGTTCAGTGAATGTGTAGCTCTTAGGCAATGTTATGTATGACCAGTAAACCTAAAACTGATTTGTAATGCTGTGAAACGTAGTAGAAAGTCGGTGAGTTTGGAAATTTAAATGGGAAATAATTAAACTGGTAGGAAATGGTGAATCAAGAACGGAAATCGCTGGAAGTTGCTTCTGTGTAGACAAAATACATTCGAAGACAAGGTGACGAATAAACAATTTAAAATCTTGTATCTGTGGGGTTATTAAAATTCCATGTTGGATACATGAACTATTGAGCTGTGAACTTGTGCTTCAAGAGACTCTTCTCAAACACGTTGATAGCATGCAAGTTCTTAACTTGGCAGTCCGATCAAAGATCAGATCCCTCCCCGCATTCATGCTTACGGGCCTCGCAGTTTAACAGCCGCAAGAAGATTTGTGTCCTTCTTCATGATTGTGTGAAACAGAAAAGGTAAAGTTCGCGGATCATTAAAAAAATCACTTCTTTGGTTCGCCCTGTAATCTTCTAAATTGCTACGCGGTGGACTGGCGTTTAAAACATTGATGAACTTCGTATTAGCTGAAGGTGCGGTCGAATAGGTACTTTCATTGGTGGACGTGGTCAAAATTATGGAATGCTTGTTGGTGGGGGCGAGAAGGAGAGACAGCAGCTAGAAGTCCTGTGAAATCTCCTCGGGCTATGGGCCGTATCGATTTGTTATAAAGCTCCGATGTTTCAAAACATCTGATCGTGTGCATTTGGACTTTTCTATGTCAGGAACACTGGACGCTGGCAGCCGGGCGCCAGAAATGTTGATTGCGCCTAGAATGTTTTGCATATTGTTCTTGTGGCTTTGTATCTCTGCGTCTTGCCTTTGAATACAGCGTTTAATTTTGTGACATGGCTCCTAGTTTCTGGAGGTGGTTTTTTGAGTCTATATGAAATTTTTACAGACCTGGGCATGGCAACAATAGTGAATGAGGCATAAAAGAACGGCTTTGTTTGACTTTTTTCATTCATAGACTGGACAAGTTGATGTTGTGCTAAATTTTAGCAAATCAATCGGAATTCTGCATATTTCTTCCGATATGTTAATTGGCTCGGGCAGTGTTGCTAAGTTGCTGCAATTGTTAGGCCAGCACAAGTAATAACCAGCGCTCCATCTGTCGAGAATCAATTTGAATTACAGCGAGTGTGACTAGCGAAGAATGCCCGCGATATGCGGTGGATCTGTCATAGGCGTCATTCTACGTGTCCACAAGCAGCTTCATCGAAATGTTTCCGGCGTGATGCAAAGCGTTCGACGACCACACGTTCCCTTCTCTTTGTCTTCACAGGCGTTGTGGACGCCATTTTCCCGCAAGCGTACCAAGGCGTTGTGCTTGTCAACCAGAAGCAGACGGAAGTTATCGGTGTCGGGTACTGTCACCCTCTGGATGCTAGCCATACGTAGTTTACAGTGCAGCTGACTGATCCAAAACTTGGAGATTGTGTGAAATTCTGCTGACTTTGCGATTAACACAGTGATTCACTGGCCGATACGGATTGCGTTGTGTACCAGGCCGAACACCGTTGTTTACAGTGGGAAATGAAACGATACTGTGCAGTATGTATGATTGTACACCGCGTAGTAAAATCAAATCTATGTATGTATATTCATCTCGAGAACGTTAACACACTGCCACTTCTTTGGAGCATGATGCGCGACCATTTTGGAAGCTATGGACACCAACGCTGCGCCTTGCAGCGGTATTTTTTTTTTTACATCGTTGTTGGATCATTGGCCGTCCTGTCCGTTGCGCAGTGTGCGCAGAACCCGCTTGCCGTTTGCGCACACACTAGGAGTTGAACAGTTTCAAAATGGAGTTCAAAATAATTGCGTCGAGTCGCGGCTTCCCCTGCATCGTACTTGGGGCTTATAAGTATCGGAAGATCCGCGTGACTGTAGGTGGGGAAATCGTGTGGCGATGTACCAACAAATCGTGCCTTGGTCAGGTACGCACGAATCTGGAGCAGTCTGAGATCCTGTACGTGAAGGACAGCCACGACCACGTAGGGCTTGACCCGCTGAAGCTGTACAGGATAAAACACCAGCAGCCAGGTAGGGACCGCGTTCCCCCCTTCCCGGGTACCCGCTACCCGTCGTGGC